AATATTTACTGGATGTGACAAAAAAATCATGCATTAACACGCCACTGGGACAAAATGAGTTAATAATAAATTAATAAATAAAACAAAAATAATAAATTTAGAGGCAAATAAAATAATTAAACAGAGAAGACACATTCTCCAGTTCATATAAAATAGCAAAACAAGGACAATAATTACTAGCCGTTATTTTCTATTGTAAACTTCCAGTTTAGAGCGAGTTCATTAATATCGAGATTAACTGATAATAAATTCCGAAAAGAAACTGCCAGGGTTTACTAAACGCTATGCCCGCGATAACGTCGCACGTTCGAGAATTTTATTCGTGTGAATCGGCGACCCGGCGAAATTTGGCAACACCGCATCCTGCGGAAGAACAGTTTTGTTACTTCCGTCAATTTGCAGATAAACAAATATACCTACTTGGCTTCGTTCCCAGCTGGAAATTTAATTTGACAAATTGCTTGAAGCGGCACCGTTTCTTAACGTGCGAATTAAGTTGAATACGTTATATTGTTACGCTGTATTGCGACGACCGATGCGGATATTAATAAACGTTCAGTAATTATATACAGGGTGCTATAAAAAGTGGGTGTCAATTCGTTGAAGCTTAGAACGCTTTTTACGCGTTTTAAATGCATTTTCTGTATGATTTTTAGCAAAAGGCGCACGCAAAACCCTTTGACTACTTTTTTCCAGACGGACGTCTACAGATTTCAAGTTAATTTTTGTAGCAAGGTTTATGGAAAGTCTAACTTTTTGCTTCCTGTAAAATTTTGGCTTGAAGCTTCTTTTATTATTAACGTTAAGATGTTCATAACACTCTGTATTATTGAAATCTAGGAAAATTCAATAGCGGATGTGCAATAGGCATCCAAGAACTGAGATTCGATTACTCATTTATAGTTCCAGGGTCCCGCTAAGGTTTTAAAAGCTAGTAGACCAGTCAGATTAAAGAAAACAACTTGCGATATCTGTCACTTAGCTTGTTTTGGTATTGACGACAGTTATTGTAGAAAATGTACCAACCAAGGTGTCGCCCACCCCTCAATAGTATATTACGAAGGAACTTCAGAAAAGTGCAATTTTCCATCACAAGGATTCAAATATTATTACCAGTAAAATCACTTTTTTGGCCCCTATTTTTGCGTCTTTTGTAAATAATTATTTATTTTACCTAAAAAACAACAACAAAATTCAGGCTTTTGATAACTAACTTATACTAGATGGGAATTATTGCATTGGCTTCCAGTCCTTGAAGAACGTAACATTAGAAACACTAGGATATAGTCATATAATGCAACATGTCTGATGAACGCCACTTTAGTAACTAATCACGCAAGCTCGGATATTTTAAAACAGGCAGTATAAAAAAAATTATTACACTGACTTTTTTAAATAACATAACAAAATCGAGATTTTGAGATATTACATTTACTAGCTTCCAATTCGAAGGAACCACACTGTGGTTTAACAAAAACTGCTATGGAGATTCAAATAAAGGTTTTCGTATACTGTGTTTTAGATCGACGAAATCCTAACAGGCACGTGCTTTCGATTCGAAACGACAAACGAGTGAGTTGCAGTTCGGCCGCACCCTGTACATGAAATACCTTAACAAATAATAAATGCGGGTACAAAGCACCGAGTGTATACGTCGGCCATGGTTAGTTCTTAGAATCCGAGAAATTTTAAGCTTGTACAAGCAGAAAACTTATAGCCGGGAATGTCAGTGTATTGACGTCTGACTAGTTCAACTGTTATAACTCGGCGCGTTTCCCAGAACTGTGGTTTCTCGAAAAGAACTTGCACACGAAAAAATACAGATCTATGTAACATTTTCAAGGCGATTAGATCGACGTTGCAGTCGGGTTTGATTTATATAGGCCGCTTCTTGCGAATCGGAACAAAGGCCCTGCCGGCATTTTTAAGGGTCGCCTGTCTCTTAAGCGGCATCTTATGGACTTGAAAAGCTTGGAAAAGCATCACTATAACCCTCGGATAAATTATTTGCAAACAAAAGAGGCTAATTAATTTTTTAACCTTCCTGAAAACTAGTTTTAAAAGCGAGCAAGTTAGGTGACATATATATTACACGTTTTTTTTACCCAAACGTTTGAATAGTTAACCCTAAAGAACCTGGTATAACTATGGTGTGTTCCAGTTTGAGTATTTTTCAAGATACAAACAACGGTTTCGGCGACAGTGTGCTACTACACCCGCTATGTTGTGAAATACCTTCCTCTTCTTATAGATTTTTTCCGTCAAATGCAGTGGTGTAACATATTTACCGTTATTGAATTATAAACCAAACTTGTTCTTTTTTAATGAGATCAAGTTTAGATATTGAGAAAAACAAAAAATTAATGGCGAAAATTCAATGCGAAATAATTAAACTTTTACGTTTTTTAAAAATATAATTTTTTTAGACGATATAAAATCAAATTATTTGTTGCATCCCAAGTACTATAAGACTCCATAGGAGATTTTACAAAGGTCATTAATATATTTAGCCTTTCGAAATCTGAGAAGGAGGCTAATAGTTCTTAATACAATTGAAAGAATTCAAAAAATGCATCAATGCATCACTCATTTAGTTTTGAGTAATTCTATTTTTTAATGTTTGTTAGATTGATACTGTATGTTAATGTACCTTGCTACTCGTGATGTTAACAAAGGCAATTATTACTGAGTAATATGTAACTGTCAATTCTTTATTGTTGTTATTTATCGCATATTATTAAATTGTGCATTTTATTTTAGAATATTGTAATATATTAGCGTATTTCTGCTATTGTGCATACTAAGGAAGAGTGTTCTTATATGGAATGTTCAAGTTCAATACTCATAAACCTGGTTTATAACTCAATTGATAAAAACATAAGTTTGACTTGCTATAAAGTGCTTTGCTGGGCTTTAAAGGAATCTCGCTGACTTGAGCTTGGGTTGCTTGAAGTGTTTTTGATCTTTTTTACGGCGCTAATTCACAAAAGGTAAAACGCTACTATAAGTTCAAATAACATAAAAATCGAATACGAAAAATCTTCACTTATAAATATGAACACGAAACGAATCGAAGACCTTTCACACTTAAATCCTTTTTATGCTACGCGAAATAAACGTAAGGCTTCGACTATCAACTTCCGACGCGGTCGTCCAACAACAAACGAAACAACATGAATATTCAGCGTAGTATTTCAATATTTTATTATTTAAGCTGCCTTTGAAAAAAAGAAACGCATAGCGCGCAAAACAACACAAAGGTATCCTTGGATTTTATGAGCCGGGTCCCAATTACAATGGAAACTAAAAAAGTTAACGGCCATTTTGACCTATTTTCCATCGGTTTGGTTTCTGCGTGTGCCAGGCCTACGTCGATTGCTAATAAAGAATTTATCGTACTACCAAACAATAATATATAGTAAGTTGCGTACTATTACAACTTGCGTCCGATACCAATTCAAGTGAAAAAAATGTTTTGCTAATATTAATTCTAGTAGTAGTGCTCATTTCATGCTGAAATTAGCATTAGCACTTCCTAAATACTTTATTTACGAATGATTTTTAAAAAAATGGTCGTAATTAACTTAATAGGATATTTCACAACCCCCTTAAAAACTTATTAATTAATTCATGATAAATTTATTACTTCTGTTATATTCTTTTTCATACGACAAATCCCCGAAACATTGCAACTTAAAAGATTTTATAACTAAGGTTTGCTTAATTTACTTTCGATACTCATGAATACGAATGAAATGGTTAATTTATGACAATTTAGAAAATAACTCAAAGCAAATTATGTCAATTATTTTAAAAGCGAAAATGTTGAATAAAAGCTGCCTCCAAAGTCAGCATCAGAATTAAAAGTACGAAAGAAGTTCTGAAATTTCCTATGAAGTTAATATCATTGTGAACGGAATTTTGTGTTATAAAATACGAACGCGGCAATGTTTTTCTTTTACGACAAAAAAGTTACACCTAACCCCTAAACAAAATATTCAGAACGTGTAAGTTTTAACGGCAGTAAAGCTAACTTTAGCTGGATTTTGGGACATCAAAAATTTGCAAGTGGTAATGCTACCCTCCTATACATAAATTATTTCGGTCGGAAGTGAAAAACTTACTAGTAAGCGCGTCCTTAACGAAAGTAGCGAACGCCATCGGCACACACACAAACTCGCGAACTAGACAATTCAAAATCATCAGCCTACGAGCGGGGCGGCGCGTCGAGCTGGGTCTACTACTAACCTGTGTTTAATCGTATTAATAAGAGTCAATTAAAAGCCCGACATACCTTTAAAGGCACATGCTTCGGCATTTACTTCCTGTGTGACGTATTTTAATTCTTGTTTCGTAACGGATTTTCTTAAAACCCACACCGCCATGGACTGTGTTTTTCTTACGACGATGTAAATAGCACGTTTGAATGTAAAATTTAATCAATTTCGTGATTCAGTTAATAATTAAATGGAATTAAGTCCATTTTAAAATCCTTTCCGAACACAATAAAACTCTTATCTACCGAATCATTCATAATCTTTGAAGGGAGTACAAGGGATACGCCAAAAAACGCAATACCTAATCTTAACATTTTACCTCAAACGTTCGTATCTTATCTCTAAATGTTAAATTTTCGGATTCTAACTCGAAATTTGAGGAATGGTTTCGACTTTAACTGGAACTGAAGTGAACTGAACTGAACCCGAAATTTTATATTATAACTTGGGGGATATCATAGTGAAAATTTCAGGGGAAATGTGTGGTAATTAGTAAGCAATGTTCATTCTCAAACAAACTTTATAATAACCCAAAAATATGTGACGTATTTTGTACACATAAACTTTATATTTAAAGAATTTAGTTTATTAAGTTACATTTTGCTGTAAAAATTATTGACAGATAATTGACTGTTTCGCTGATTACTAATTGAAACTAGGCAAACGTTACCAAGCATCGAGGACAGAGCTAGACTCAAAAAAAAAAATAAAATAAAAACTTACCAGTGAATCGGCACTGTTTTAGACTATTCTTCGAGCACTTTGCACCAGAGCTACCCGCTAGCCGTGTACGCGATGATGCTTCGTTACCGAATTTCGGAAGCAGCTCCAGACACTGTGGGGCGCGATGTTGGCCCCCTTCGGTAGTCGAGGTTCAGGTGGCAGGTGAGGACAATTCTGGGCAGCTGCAATTGAAAACGGGCCTTTAAGACGGGGTCCTTGATTTCTTATTAAAAAAAAACTCTTCGTTATAACGTCGGCCTTGTTAAAATCGGATTTCTTATTGTCATCGGCGTAAAGAATCGAAAAAAAAAAACGGCGGACAATTGAAATAATGGCGCAAATTCTTCTCTGAAAATACTGTTTTTTAAATGCGATAAAATAGATGACCGTTTTGGCAAGGGGCGGGAAAAACGAGTTTACAACGGCACATTCAATTACGACGGCGCTAATTTTTCACTAACCATACCTATATACAGGGTGTAAACGCTGTGTGGACTGTAACTGGGGCAATGTAACTCCTACAATGAGTTCTTCCAAAAAAAATATTTGAAAGTTTTTCCTCCATTTAATTTGTTCAAATTTTAGCATTTTACCAATCCACACTTTTTCTCAGATAAAACAAAAATCATTTATTTCAGGCAATTTCCAGGTGCGTTCCACAAAAAAAAATTGGAGCGACTAAATGGCCTAAAAGATCTTCAAAAATATACCGTTGTGTACACGTAGACAAATAACAAGTTTACCACATATCTATCAACTGTTTTTCTCCGAAATGTTGGCAAATAAATTGTAGAAAAAAACAAAAAAATATCTTTGATAATCTGTATCTTGGTAACAAAGCTTTTACTTACATCACTTGAAAAAACTTGAAAAAAAAAACCGAAACACCGTCTATTAAATATTGGATACAAAATGTTATTTTAACAAATGGCAACGTGATGGAAAATCGTAGTAATTTTCGACGTAGAAATAAAAATTTCTTTAATATCCGACATTGCCGTTCCACTGGTCAACAAACTACCGGTGCATCAGCTGGCGTGGATAATTACATTAATTTTTGTCCCGTGCCACTGTTTAATCTCGGTACTTGCGGGATTTGTTGAATACGAAATAGGTAATTTTTTTTGTATTAAAATTTCTGTGCTCCAGACGTATGTTCAGTCACAAACGAAAGGAAGCAGTGCATTACATCTGTATAACGAAGAAAGGGTTCACAGAGACTTCATTGCAGAATGTGAATGATGTATAACGAAAGCCAGGAGTGCATCCACCATCATCAAGAACTCCTGAACGTTCTGAATCTGCGTACAGGTTTTTGATTCTGAACCTTTTGGACATTTATGTAGTATAATTTTTGAAGACTGAGTATCATTCATTGAAAAAATGCATATATATATTTATTTTATTTTTTCTGTTTTTAGCAATAATAATAATAAAAGGTATAAGATTCATTAAGCGATATTTTTTTATACTGACACGATCCTTAATTAACATTACCTTACTAGCTACTTACTAACATTACCCTTAATAAGGTTCTTAAATAGGAAAGTTAATTTATAAAAAAACTATATAAGAAGAATGAAACAAAACATTTAAAAAGCAATATAGTATTAATAATCATTAGGTTGTACATTTATTAATAAAAAGTTCGATAAGTGGACCAACATTTAAATTAAGAAATGTTGATTATAAAGGCTTTACTATAAACACTACGATTGCACAACTATACATTCTCAATACTAGCAGGTATGAAACTAAATGTTTTATTGTTTTTCTAAGTTTGCAAACTAAAAAAGTAGCACTGTTTGATTTTCTGATTAATTGATTTTGTTCTCTTCCCACATGAGCCACACGTACCACACTGTGCGTAAAAGCGTAAAAATCTCGATGAACATTATCCTAAGGTCCAAAAGATCGAACAGCTAAGAAACAGTTAGAAATCATTGGCTGATATTAATTAAGTGAATATTTATTTGGTTAATTCAGTAAAAAACATTTTGAACACATTTCCTATTTTGCGATCAAATTAGTTTTCCTTAGAAAGATCGAACAATGTTCCTGTGAAGACAAACCTAGTTCTGGTGGTGATGAAATAAGGCATCAACCATGGTAATTCGTCAGATTATGTCAGATATTAAGCCAGTATATAAAAATGAGGCTTCGAAATGCGAGTGGATATTATATACCGAACACGTGGAATACCATTCATCCGTAAGAAAAGAGTTTTTAAAAACCTCGGCTACCTAATAAAACATGACAAATTCTATTTATTGCAGCTAATAGTCCAAAGAAAGCCAGACAGCAGATAAGGACCAAGAGGAAGACATTCGTGGTTCCACAACTTATGCCAGTGGTTTGGAATGGCATCAATCCAATTATACAGCAGTGTAGCAAATAAAATTAGAATTGTCGTGATAATGATTCATAACGAACAAGGCACAGGACGAAGAAGGAGAAGAAAAAAATGTATACGAAAATAACTATTTCGATAATTATAGGTTGATAAGTTTACTCTCGGGATTCTCAAAACTGTTTGGAATTGTCTTGTGCGCAATACTACTGGATTTCTTGACAAAATGTAATCTAAACAGACGTTATCAAGCATCTATGTTTATGGCTCTTTCAATACAGAAATATTCAATGTCGGGAAATTTTATTACAGTCGATTGTTTTAAAAGGAAATTTACCGCCAAACGGTACAGTTTTTGCTCCCCAGGTGGATAGGTTCGACTTAATCGTAATTTCGTTGGGTGAAAATAAAAAGCGGACACGTGGAGATTTTAATTCGCCATCGTTGTCGAAATGACGAAATAATGGCCTTATTCCGGGGAACAGGTGGAACGACGGGTGAATCTTCCGTTGTTATATTCTGGTGCAGTTATTAAGTTAGTCAAGGTGGCAGGCGAGGAAGACACGTGCTAGACGCAGTGGCGCGACCGCTGATACAGCAAGAGTTATTAACAACGGAGATATAATATTTATTCACGATCTAAGAAAGTGACTTGGATTTTACCCTGGTACTTGCCTATTACACGGGCTACGTCAGTTTATCTCCATCCTTAAAACAATGCGCAATAAATTTTTCAAAGAAACTTCCACAGGATGCTGTAACACTTTTTACAAAACTTCCAGTTTGTAAAGGTCTGAAGAAGCCAACAGGATGATTGACGAAATGTCAGCAAGTTCGACTCAGCAAAAACCGACGCCGGAGGAATGTAAAAAGTAGTGCCTAATAAAATTTTCGAAGGTGTCTTTTAAAATACTCACCCAAAAGTTTTACCTAAATTTCGTAGAACGAGATCGGGAATAATCGGATAAAACCTTAACAAATACGAAAAGGCAATGGTGTACCATGTGCTCACAATGTACACCTGCTTCAAACAGCAGCGGAAGCTGGAAAAATTGTATTCAGCACATGAAAAAAATTGAGGATTTATATAGATGTATAAATATATAAAAATACTTTAGAACCTCTAAAAATCTGGTTATTAATTTGGAAGAGAGTAACGATAACGAAATTGAACTAGATAATGTTTAATAATAATCAGAATGTATATTAATACGTATGGTAAATTTAAAATTAAATTAAAATTCCAAAACATCAGATATCGTAATAGTGCGGCACAATGCCCTTCCATTCGGTTGACATAAATTTACCAGTTTCGGGTCTTATCAAATTCCATATGGGTTTAGGTAGTCAACTCACTTTCTTAGATCGTGAAAAATACTATAAAAGTCAGTCCACAGCTATGGTACTTATTACAGTGACAAGAACTTTTACTGTGTTAGACTTTTTAATAAACTTTGCGTAGGCTCCAGAAATGCATAATTGGATATTTTAGAGCTAGGACTATAAAACTAACAATCGTACAGTATTTTTAGGTTATTATATTTGCCAGCTTTACCAGCAGCCGCGTGGCACTGACGGAAACTAGCAGACGTCTCGACAGGTGTTTTGGGGGGGTTTGACTTTAAGCAAATCCTTTAATGATTTTATTTTTATTTCAATTTTACGAGTTGAATCTGCGTTCTTACGTAAAATTATATTTTCATCATAGAATCACTTTTAATCTTCAAAGAAAATTGTTCTTTGAATTATCGTTAATTACGCAAATACGCAAATCATATGATGAAGTTACCGATGTCGGGGTCTAACAATATATCTGATGTTTTAAACTTAAAATTGCGACTAGCTTCATAAATTTGAAAGAAAAATCGAAAATTGTACTTCTCTCTCTCTCTCCCTCTCTCTCTTAAACTGCGTCGATTGTCGATATATTAATATATCGATAGCTCGCAGTGATATGTAGCATTGTTGGATTAAATCTGGTATACTTTTGAAAACTTTTTTACCATAAGAACAAATTTCGTCAAATAAAAAAACGTTTTTTCACATGGTTTGATGTAAACAAACCAATTTAAAATATATTGTTGCTCTTTTTTAACACCTGCATAAATAGAATGTCCACAATCTTTAATCAAACAGAAATTCGTGATAAAAATAACCTTGCCTCCTTGCGTTGCAGTTGCACATCTTACGCTTTCATTCAGATTTGTTTGGAACGCAGTTTGATATAGGCGACGCAAAAGGTTTGTTTGTTGTCAGAAAATGCTCAAGATTACTTTGCAAATACGTTGTTCGTTTCGATTTTGCCGTATATCTACGGCCGCCTTATTACAATTTCGTGTGTGCAATTAGGTCGGGCAACAAATGCAAATAAACGCGGACAAGAAAACCGCCTCATCTATCATGTAAATACTAATTTGCAACGGAGTAGATTGGAATCTGAGTTAAAAATCGTTAAAATTTGTGTTCGAGTTAACAAAGACACAGAAAGATTGCGCCGTATACGTTGTTCCAAAGGAAGATGTTAATGAACACTTAAGAACTGTTACGGAATGTCAACTTTATGACTAATTGCCGTTTTAATGAATTCGCCTCTAGTGCATGTCGAGATGATTACATACAGTTCAACTGTAAATGCGTTTGGAAGGAAGTTTAGGTTCTACATAAATTGTATGCGGTCATTTGCAGAATGTTTAACGTCTACGATATAAGGGAAATCATGACAGTTCATATAACCCTCCACCATCTTTATGAGACACGTTTTTAGCATACAAATTTCCGTTCCGGTCCGTTCATTATTAAAAATTGGCGTTTAAATAATTTCGAATTCGACTA